CCCCACCCCGCCGCACGGGCGCTCGGCGGGTGTGTGGCCCCTCTTGCGCAGGCGGCCGGAGGGCGCCCCGTTTCCCCCACAGCCACCATCCTGGCTCCAAGTATTCTCTCCAGTACAAGACCACCTTGAGGCAGTATGGTGGCTTCACTGTACCAGTCTTGAGGAGGGCCGGTGCCCAGCATCCATCCTGGGTGAGGGAATCCATTCATTCAGGCTGTGGAAGCCTCATGCAGCTGCAGCAGCTGTCTGGTGGGTGTGGGCTCTGCAGGGGGCGGGGGTTGGGAGCCACGAGACTCACCCATTTCTCCTTGGGAATCCTTGAATTCCTGTTGTTGAGCCTCGATCTTCACTGAGGGCCAGTCATCAACTGTTTAAGTGTTCAATTATCAATAAGCCGAAGTCTGTGGAAAGCCATAATGGCCCTGCTTTAAGTGGTTCGCTACTCCCAGAGCTCACCATGCTGTCTCTGCCTCCGCCGCCATCTTGGATCTCTGTTTGTCCATTATTTTTTTATGATAGTTCATCTACAAGATTTGAATACGTTTTCACACCAGATCTTTCCCACTTGTTTTACCTCACTCACTCACCCATCAAATTGTGTAACCCCATGATTAATCCCCCCTCCTCTGCACATTCTCACCCCTCTGTTTCCACTCTCTACCCACTTTGGATCCTCGTACTCATTCTACAATAATGGCTTTATACAGTATTTGTTCTTCTGGGACTGAGTTAGTTCACTCTACATAATGCTCTTCAGTCACTCCCAGGATAGGTAATAATTTGAAAAAAATCATTGAAGCTTCATAGTATTGCATTGTGTGAATGTACCATAATTTCTCAATTCATCCAATTGTGGTTGGACATATGGGCCATTTTCATGTTATTGTGATGGTGTATAATGCAGATATAAAAATTGGTGTACAAGTCTCTGTGCCTCAGTTCTCATATTCTCAGGGTATATTCCAAGCAATGGAATAACTAGGTCATATGGAATTTCTATGTTCAGCTTTTTGAGGAAGTGCCAAACTGCCTTCCAGAGTGGTTGAACCATTGTACAATCCTACCAACAATGTGTAAGAGTTCATATCTGTACAAATTCTCTCCAACATTTTTTACTTGCTGTCCTGTTAAACTTTGCCACTGCTGTTGGGGTGAGATGGTATCTCATTGTGGTTTTGATTTGTATCTCTCTTATTTCCAGTGATTTTGAGCATTTCTTCATGAGTGGGAGACATAGCACTCCCTGGCCTCAAAACCTATTACATAGCAGTAGTAACAAAAAACAGCATGATACTAGTACAATGACAAGCACATAGACCAATGGAATGTAATTGGGAACCCAGAAATAGACCCAGCTATCTATAGTCAACTGACAAGAAAATCAAAGATATCAAATGGGGAAATGATACCCTCTTCAACAAAAGGTGCTGGCAAAACTGGACTTTGACCTGCAGAAAGCTGAAACAGGATCCACACCTCACACTGTACACAGAATTCAACTCAAGGTGGATCAGAGACCTGGGAGTAAACCCCATATCATAAAGTTCATAAGAGACAAACTGGAATCAGTCTTACAAGGCCTAGTCTACGATATAAAAAGACTGTTAAATACAGCCAGAAATGTACAATCTGAAGAGGATAAAATAGATGAATGGGACCTTCTAAAAATTAAATCCCTGTGCTCATCAAAAACTTTTCCAACAAGGTGAAAAGAAAACCTAGTGAGTGAGAATAAACATTTGGCAAGACCAGCTCCGACAAGAGTCCCATAAAAGAAGTTTATAGAATACCTCTGGGCCTCCACAAGAAAAAGACTGACAACCCGATTACAAAATGAGTAAAAGAAGTGGAAAGAATTTTCACAGAGAAAAATATTAAAATGGCCAACAGAAGTAATCCTTTTCATATCATTGCTTTGTATTCACTCTTTTGCAATATCCATTCTTCAGAAAAGTCTTCTGGGATCTATTACTAAATAGTGCAGTTGGTAAAATTTCCCAGGTACTTAGGGCCTGTTTTACACAGTAGACTAATTGAAAAGAAAATCTTTGTCCCTCAGTTCTTTTGGGAATATGTAATGAATCATGAAGACTCTGAATGAATGTTTTCTAAAAGGCACATTGAAACGATAGTGTCCAATAGTAAACTGATCTTTTCCTACTCACTCATTCCAGTAAAGACTTACTCATATTTCTTCTTTAGAAAAGGTTTGAAAATTCCAGTCACTGGACAACAATTGTCGTTGACTGTGGACTTTTTTTTAGAAGAACACACAAAGAAATGATAAGTGTATTCAGTGGTATTTGCACCTGTGTAAACAAACTATGTTCTTTGCAGGTCATACCCTCCCCTTCCCTCAAATAATCATCTCTCCCATTGTTCATAAAATAAATCCTCATTTAGGAGATTGTTCTTTGCTGTTCGCATGCACACACATGCACGCAGTGTGAGAAATTATTTGATTCAAAGAGGAGACCCAGAAGGTGGTCGCTTTCAAAATGTATTTCTCATGAAGCTTCTCCTACCACGACAACATTAGCTTCACTCGGGCTTAGTAGATATGCAAGGTTTTGTGCCCCTCTTCAGATTTTCTGTATTGACAACAGTGGAGAGAGGTTGAGCAAACATTTTTAATTTTTTTCACCAAGCGCTAAGGTGATTCTGCTACTGCTGGTGTTTAGAAGCACTGCCTTAAAATGCGGTGCAGAACCATGGAGTGAGTGGAGTAGAGTCCATCTGGAAAGAATTCCAGGCACTTTGTGCCTCTGTTGTGGAGTTGTACTTCCAGATCACGGTTACAGAAGGCACAATACTGTCAGTTTATTAGCTGGTGGTCAATCTCGTTAATTATGACTCGTGACAACGTCACATGTATCAGAGTAGAACTGTGCTGTTGACTGAGTATTTGAAAGTAGATTGCTGGGGTTTGCTTTGGAAGCACTGTTAGGTGTACTGGAATCTCACCTTTTCAGTTAATAATCAGGTGTGTTAAAGGCCTGTATTACCCAGGGACTTAGTTTCCTGTCATCTGTGTTTGTGTGGTTAAGGAGCTCTGGTGGCCTAGTAGGTAGGGAATTGTGCTGCCAATCCAAAGAAAGGTGGTTTGAATTCCTCAGCTGCTCCATAGGAGAAAGATAGGCAATCTCCTTCCAAGCATTTTATAGCCTTTTAAGACCCATTGGAGGACCAACCATGAGCGGGTTCCCACTCATTAACAATAAGTTTCTCAGTTTTGTGTTTATGCAGTTAAGAACTTCTAACTACTTCACTAGGATAAAATTGTTTTTCCGAACAAGGTTATGTGCGTCTAAGGAATCCTGGGATCTAAGTTGTTCCTTCCTGCCTTTTCCTTGCAAGAAAGTAAAGAATTGATTTAGATTGCTGGCTCAGTTGGTTTTCCATTTAAGCTGTACTTAGCCTTTTTGCAAAAAGACTTTTTCCATTTTAAGCACTTTTTACCTTTCAATTTTGATTTAATTTTAGTAAAGAGCTTTAGCTCATATTTCCTACCTCAAGATTTTGGCTACCTATGGGTGTGTGTTGAAGACTTTTAATTTTAGATATTTTATAAAATCAACCACAGCATTTTCAAGATCTGCCAGGAAACTTGAGGTCCAGTGTCATTTGCATAAGGCATAATTCAAATTTTCACTCTATATACAGTTATACCCATCATAAATGAAAAAATATCATGTCACTTATTTTTTTGATACCTCAAATCCACTTTTGAGGTAATTTTCAAGTTTGCATCTTCTACCACGTTTGGAAAATATGTTTTTTCCTCTCCTATTCTCCTTTCCTTCTCCTTTGTTTTAGCTCCTCCTTCTCCCCCCTTTTTTTTAATTTTTAAATTTTATTATGTGTGTGTGTGTGTGTGTACTGTCATATCAGATCTGACTGGTACAGGAGACGATTGTCCCTCCTCCAGCAGAGCATCTGGTGGATTTGAACCATGTACCTCGGGGATTTCAGTGCAGATTCTTGCCATCTCCCTTTGTTTTTATTCTTTCTTTCTATTTGTGTCAGAAAAGGTTCTTGATTTCTATAAAATAATAAACATATTATGGAACATTTCAAAGAAGAGTATGAGAAAGGGTTTGATTAACCTATGAAGGAAAATAAGAAATAAAGCTTAGCTAAGCTGGAACGATTTTAGCATATGGTAATGGGAGCTTAAGTTTGAGGAAGACTGTGTGGCTATTAAGATTTTCACTACTTTATTATGCATTTATGACAGGAGTGATTTTTAATAGTATATTAATACATATTAAGGCTATCTAGACTAGCAACTTCTTGTGGCTAGGTAAACTTAAGTAGCACATTTGTACATGCAATTTTGAGTTGTTTCCTCTAATAACCTAAAGATACAAGCTTATGGAAATGCACGTCTACTTACTTTGCAGGTGGAAAAATGACAACTTGTGAAAGAGCCCATTTTTTGCCAGAAGGAATTTTACGAAGTAGATCTGAAGGAAATCTGATTGACATGGAAGACCAGAAACCCTTAAAAAATTGCCATCTTACAGGTACAGAAACTTACAACTTAACATTTTTTTTATGCCAGAAAATCAAATCCAATACTAGTAACTATTGCAGATCTCTCTCTGAAAAATGTACTAATATTGAAAGAATTCTAAAATCCCAACCCAAATATAGAAATATATATTGTAGAAATGTGCAAAATAAAATAGCATAGCCAATGGGATAAAAAAATATTATAAGAAATAATAATTCATTAGCTTATTAGTGATGTATGTAGTAATTTTATTACTGTAAATGTGTGATCTGGGGTAAACTAGATGTCTGGTGGTTGGAACATGCTAAGAAATCTTTATAGAGTATATGAGTATTACTGATACTCATAGTAAGTAAAGCTAACTTTTAAAGACATTTGTAAAGGAAATAAGAGAGTTATTATTGTTCAAAGTAAGTACATCATCTAATTTTTAATACATACTGCTTAAAACACACTTCAATAAAAATTATGGTTGTACATGCATTGAACAACAACAAAAGTTCAACAAAGAACAATTCTTTCTTTAAGTCATTGACCACTTAGGCTTTTATTTTTTTCTAAACAGTATCAACTTTTCAAAGTTCAAAGAATTATTTCCAATATTTGCTGAGCAATGATCATGCATTAATTGCACTAAATATAGTCAAAGATGCCATACATTATAAAGTATTTAGCAATCTTTATTATATAAACATGAATATTTTTTAATAGAGGGCATTTCTGAAAAAAATTTCTTACCAGTGAGAGTTCTTTTCCATTGCAAGACTCCCAAAATGCAATAGATTCTTTGAAATAGTAAACAAATGATGATCTGTTTTTCATGTTCATACTATTAACGTTAGTGTTTATCAATGCACACTTATCATACAATAATAAGTGCATAATAACTCAATTTGTTATTTTTTACGTTTGATATTATATAGAAAAATATCATATCAGTGATACAGATGTGATGAGATCAATTAATCAATGTTGGGAATCTATATCATTGAATTCTGTTTACTTAAAAGTGTAGTTTGCAAAAATGAAACTAAGAAATGTATAAGCCCATGCTAGACTTCTTCATTCTTTTTTTATATCATATTTTTATTCTTTTTAATGAACATTTACAGAGACTTTGGATTTCCATTCATTCATTGTTGCACTTTTCTCCCTGCCCACCCCTCCCCCCCACAGTACACTCTTCTCTTTATTATTATCTCAATCAGGGAACTTCTATGTATTCAGTTTTTAAGTCATGATAGTTTAAGATTAATATAACATTACATATGTTTACAATAATTTGATAGTGTAGTTTCTCTATCTTCACAATATACAAATTTGAACATTAGCTTTGAAGACTATTAGATAAAAAGTAATTTTTAAAATGTTTTTAATAAGTCTAGATATTTTAATCTGTGATAAAAATTAGGCTTGGGTATATCTAAGAATACTGCTTCATCTTTGTTTTACTTTGTTTTTTGTTTAAATAACAAGAACGTCAAGATCCAAGCTTGCTTCTCAATTGGCCAGATGCTTTTAACCTTCATGGCAACTTTTCCAAAGCTAAAAATCCATTCTGGAATGAACTATCAGCTTCCAACCCATTTTTGGATGATATAGCTCAGCTACAAAATAATAAGAAGAGCAGTAACACTTCCATCTTGAAAGAAGACCCCTTTCTTTTTTTTAGAGAAGTAGAAACTGAAAACTCTCTTGATTCTTCTGGTGACGAACTTGATGTTCATCAACTGCTGATGCAGTCTTCCTCAAGGACATCTGCAAGATCTAAAAGTGTTTCAGAACTTTTGGACTTCCTAGAGGACAAAACACATGCCCATCAGAATACACAAAACTCTGACCAGATTCTGGTGCAAGATTTAGAATGGCTTCAAAATGATAGAGAAGCTTACAAAATGGCATGGTTGAGTCAACGCCACCTGGCCAGGTCTTGCCTGGATTTGAATACAATCAATCAGAGTCCTGGATGGGCCCAAACACAAATTGCAGAGACCATCATTGTTTGTAAGTTAAATCATCAGGGAGGATCTGTACAAATACCTGAATCAGACATCACAGTTCACGTGCCCCAAGGTCATGTTGCTGTGGGGGAATTCCAGGAGATATCTCTGAGAGCTTTTCTTGATCCTCCACAAATGCTTAACCATAATCTTTCATGCACAGTAAGTCCACTATTGGAAATCATGTTAAGCAACTTTAACACAATGGAATCCATTTTGCTGGAGATGAAAATTGGGGCCAACGTGAAAAAGGATCCTTTCAGCCAAGTCATGACAGAAATGGTGTGTTTACACAGCCTGGACCGAGGAGGGCCTTTCAAAGTGTTGAACAACTGCTACATTTACAAAGATACCATCCAAGTTAAGCTAATAGACTTGAGTCAGGTGATGTATTTTGTGGTCGCTGCACAAACAAAAATTATGCCATCACCAACTGCCACTATTTGGGATTATATTCACAAAACTACCTCAGTTGGAATTTATGGGCCCAAATATGTCCATCCCAGTTTTACTACTGTTGTCACAATTTGTGGACACAGTTATATGCCTGAAAAGCTTACAATTTCTGACATTAAGAGGGGTAGGAAAAACACTTCTTCAGTTGTATTCCACCTCTGGGGGAAGCATTCATTTTTACTTGACCAACCACAAGATTTAAGTATTTGTGTTTTCTCATGTGATCCTAATTTTGTAGTAAAGGCAGGAGAAGAGAGGAAAGAGATTAAGCAGAAAGAGTTGCAGACTGGTGAAGTAGTCCATCAGCAATTTTTGTTTTCTTTAGTTGACCTTAAAGAAATGCACTTGTTCACTTTTAATGTTCAGGTGGAGGTGTCCAACGGTAGACCAATTGCACAATTTTCTATCACTACACCTGAACCAGCTCCAAACCTAAAAAGGCTCTCCAGTTTGCCAGGCCATTTGCAGGTGGAGAAAGAATCAAAGTTACCTCCTTTAATGCCCACAATGACTGTTAAATACCCCACATTTCAAGAAAAGAACTTGAACTTTACCAAGTATGGGGTAACCCTAAAGACAGTGTTACGGCAAAACAAGATTGACTACTTACTGGAATATTTCAAAGGAGACACAATAGCTCTTCTTGGAGAAAGTAAAGTAAAAGCCATTGGACAATCCAAAGTGAAGGAATGGTATGTGAGTGTGCTCAGAGGTAAAGTTGGACTTGTGCACTGTAAAAATGTCAAAGTGATTTCAAAAGAACAAGTGATGTCTTCGACAGATAGTTTATTCACAACTAGGAATCTTCTTGAACAAATAAGTCTACCATCTAAAAAACTGACTTATATCTACTCAGTTGTATTGACTTTGGTATCAGAAAAAGTTTATGACTGGAAAGTTTTAGCTGATGTCCTGGGTTATTCACATCTGACACAGGATGGTTTTGATCACATACAAGTGAAGAAAGAATCAGAAAAAGTTTCTTATGTCATAAAGAAGTTAAAGGAAGATTGCCATTCAGATAAAAACACAAGGAAGTTTCTTTATGAACTTGTTGTGGTAAGTATTGCTTGATCACAGTGATTTATTTATTGTAAAGAATTAGTTACCTTTATTACCTTAACAGTGTATATATCTAAACATATGCAAATATGGATGAAAAATTAAAAACAGCCTCAGATAAATTAGAACTACTCTAAAGCAAATATAGAACTTTCCCTACTAGATCACATAATTGATTTCTTGTTTATGAGACTTGGGTTTTTTTTTTTCTTCTGAAAATACCCCTTGAGAATCCTTTGAAGGAAGATTAATGATTCTGTTACTGCAGGACATAATAGTTAAGAAATCCCTTCCTTTGACAAATATTTAGACAGTTCCAATAACATAGCAGACAAATAGCAACAAACGGGAAAAAAAAAATCAACTTGACCATTACTTTAAGGTTAATTTAAGTGGTATTAAAAAATATTGCCAGTATCCTTTAACATAATAATTTACAATTTTTCTTATGTATGCAATGCATTAGACACTCTGGACATGTTATCCCTAATTTTCATCTTAATCTTCATGCATTTTAATGGCATTTTTTTTTCAACAAGTTTTTACCACAATGTTAAGCTCCCAGGAGATTTCTAAAAAAAAAAAAAAAAAGGGTAAAGGGTAGTTTCAAATTTAAAGTAGAAATTTAGTATTAATTGTTGTTTTGTGCTGTCCAGTGACCTGTAAGAAACAGCCACCCTATCACCCTATGTGCAACAGCCCTGAACTCTGCTGTGTCCTGTGCCAGTCTCACTGGAGTAAAAAAACAAAACAAAAAACCAACAACAGACAAACAAAAACCCAAAAAAGCAAATCTCTCAAGGATGTATTTGTTAAAAGCTGGTAATATGTAAATGTAGAAATAATAATGAAAGCTAACATTTTCAAATGTATGTGTGTTTTTGCTTCGCAATGTTGTAGGCACTCTATTAATACTATCTCATTTAGACATTATTAAAAATCTGAGTAAAGTACAACTAGTATGTTACTTTACACATAAAGAAAATTGAGTCTTAAGATTTTTGCACAATTAGTACCAGACGGGGCATTTGAAGACTTTGAGAGTCCATAAAGCAGGCTCCATATGTCTTGCTGACACAAATTCTTTGGAGAAAGATATGCTTGGAAGGGTGGAGGGTCAACGAAGGAAAGGAAGACGTTGGACGAGATGGATTGATACAGTGACTGTGGTAATGGGGGCAAGTGTGTCGGAGTCTGAGACTGGCAAGGTTCAGAGTCCTTGTTCATAGAGTCATTAGGAGTCATAGTTGACTCAGAGGCACATAACAACAACAACGATTGTTCAAGAAGAGCTTTTTCCATCTTTCTATTCCTATGGAATAGGAAAGTTTTCATTAATGGACAAAAAGAAGGGAGAAAATGATGAATAAGAATTCAGCCTGTGAAATTAATGATAGTGGGTATAATTAGGAAATAAGTATATAATACACTTATGCACTAATACAGTGATATTCTAGGATATACTGAAGATGCCCTGGTGATGAAGTGATTGAGCACTGGACCACTAAACAAGGATAGGTGTTTCAAACCCAGTAGTGGTTCCACAGGAGAAAGACCTAGTGATGTACTCTGAGAAGATTACAGCCTGGGAGACTCGATGAGGTAGTTCTTGTCTGTCCAGTAGGGTCAATATGAGTCAAGATCAACTGGACAACCAATGTTAAGTGTTCAAAGCCTCAAGATCCAGTTTTTATGTGAAGAACTGTATTGTAGTGTTTTAAGCAAATAAACATTTATAAAAAGACATTTATGCTTTTAAAGTTAATACTTGCAGTCTCTTGATTCTGGACAGAGTCACTGGACACTGAATCTTACCTGCTAGAAGCTACAAATATTTTTCACTATCTCTTTATTTCTCACAGTTGTATTTGTTGTTTTTGTTGTGTATTATCATGTTGGAACCAAGTCATAGCTGATCCTCCAGTGAGTTTTCAGATTAAGTTGTTATGTAAAGAGCTTTATTATGATGTTTCATGCAAATAACCATCTATGAAAAGACATTTATGATTTTAAAGTATATAATTAATAGTAATTGCATGGAAGGAAATTACCCATATTTTTCTCAAAGAGCAGCTCTTGGGTTTGAACGTTGTGTCTTTGGGTTGACAATGCAACTTCTTACCTCTAAACTACCAACATGTACCTATAAACTCAAACCTGCTGTCATAGAATTGGAACCACCTCATAGCTAAGCATCCATTGGGTTTCCAAGACTGTAAATCATAAAAGAGTAGATTTCCCCTCTTTCCTCCATGGATCTGCTGGTGGACGTGAGTGTCAGGGAGGCACTGCCTTTGGATGATCAGGGCATCTCTCTCCCCGGACTAATCAGCAGAGTTCCTCATGTACATACACGGAGTTGGCAAATAAGATGACTTCCTTGTTTCTCTTAGTATCCTAAAAAACTTGTTGGGCCAAATAGTTGTAAACTTGATTTTGATCATATCTAGTTGATGTTGGGATATATTAATTAATAGGATATGGTGAGGATCTAACTAGATTGTGCTGATGAGAGAACCAATTCAAGGAAATAATTCCTAAAATGGCAGGAGAAGTCATCTTGTGACTCAGTGAAGGTTTCAGGACTCTTGTATGGAAGGCATTTAGGTGTAACTATCTGAATGGCATGCAATGAAGAGTGGGAAATGGAGGTCTACTCTTGAAATCACCCAGTAAGTATAATTTTTCTTAAACTCTATTTAGGGTATTGAAGGGAATGAGAAAGATTGTTGGTTCTAAATCTCTTAATCTTCTCTAGACACTGACACTGGATGTCATTAAGTATTTGACATGATGTTATTGTTTGTTGTCAAGTCAGAACTGATGTGTAACTGAACCTCCAGTAAATTGTCAGAGAAAGTAAATCACATTCTTCTCCCACAGAGCAGTGGGTGGATTCAAACCACGTGCCTATAGAATTGTAGCACAGTTTCTTACCAACTTGTAATACTCTAAATGAACTTAGCATCTGATTCAACCAATATATAATAATTATAGGAATTATGTGGGTTGGTACTATCACTATATCCATTTTATTAACTAGTGAAAAGAGATTTTGTGAATCGCCTAATTTTTATACATGTAGAGCTGTATTTTAAAACACGTATTTATTTTATTAATTTTAATGAACATTTATAGAGATTTTCGATTTCCATTCATTCATTGTTGCACTTTTTTTCTCTACCCCCAACCCTAGTTCATTCCTCTCTTTGAAAAGCAAAAGATAAACTTCTTCATTGGTATACAATCCCCCCGCCGCACGCCCCCTTCCCCTCACCCCGCCCCAAATGCTCTCCACTATGTAACCTTAATTCTGGATTCCTGTGATAGCCATAAACTATGAATTTTTGCACAATTATTTTCTCTAAAACAAGAACTCTGAGTAAACACAGGCAAATCCACTTTACAGTTTACCACAAGAACCTTTAGGGTGATAACGAATCAATATAAATAATGTATAAATATAACCTTTATACATACTTTGCCCTAATTGTATGCTTTTTAGAAGAATCAACACTCTTCATACATTTCACTTCTCCATGGTTTTCTTTCTTGGTCATTTGTTCTGTTTAATATTGGCAGGCTAAGTTTTTAGGAATGATTAAATAAAGAGAGGCTATTAAGCATATTTTATGAGTTGTCTATGACTCGACATCATTTAACAACAATAACAACAACAGCATAGAGAGTGCTCTGTTGGTCTAGTACATAGAAAGTGATGCTACCAAGGCAAAGGTAAGTGATTTTAATTTGTTGCCCTTGGGCCTGGTTTTAACTGTTTTTGGTCAAACATTCTTCTAAGTGGTATAGAACTGATCTGTCCACTTGCTATACAGAGGTAACTCATGGTTGCTGTGACCCTGATGTGTCAAATCTGATAATGGTTACCCATAGCAGACAGTGTTTAGTGGAGCTCCCCGATTAAAACAAGCTGGGAAGCAGGAGTGGCATCCACTTCCAAAATGGCTTGCCTCCAGAAACCCTATGAACATGGAGAAATGACGAAAGTTATACAAGTATTCAGGTCTTTTTTTCATAGGGTCACTACGAGTTGTCTACGGCTCAATGGCACTTAACAACAACAATTAAGCATATTTACTTAAACAGAGAAAAAGATAATCTTGTGCCGTTAACTCATATTCAGGAAACGGAGACACTCATGCTTGGTGAATGAAAAAACTCAGATACCTGATTAAGGAGTAAAGAATGATATTTTTTTTATTTTGCATTGTCTAAAACTCCAAATCCAAACTCCATTGCTCTTAAGTCAATTCTGACTCACAGCACTCTATAAGGCAGAGTGTAACTGTCTCATAAAGCTCCCAAGGTCCCAAGGCTATGCTCTTTGCAGTAGCAGATTACCACTTCTCCCTCCCATACAAGATTGAATACTAAGGGGTGTATCTTTAGTCTCATTATATTGATTGTGAATAGGAATAATTTAATTTTGTAGTCATAGACATTAATTAATATCTTTGTTCCAAGTTGGATGAGTACCTCATTTTATGTAATAGGCATGATCCTAGGATATTTTATGTCATATTTTTTTATGAACATTAGATTAATGTCATCGATGTACTATTTCAAAAAATCTCACAGCTAGTCATTCAGCAAGGCAAGGTATTAACTTTTGTGGAATGACTAATCTTCCCTGGATTGATGAGTTACAGCTAACTATCACTTCAGGATACCTCTGCATGTGTCTATTCAACTTCTTCTGTTTACAATTAAAAATTAAGAATTTTATGAGATATGGTGATAAAAGGCATTGATAAATTATAGTCAATATTACTAAAATACTGTATATGAATGTTTGTATGAAAACTAATTTTTAAAAAACAAAAGTATCACATTTGTTAAATGAATTTGGTTTAAGTGAGTGTGTCAGACCAACACACCATAATAGCTGAGGTGGTTCCGACCACTTTGAGGAAAAATGAATTTCCTCCTAATTCTGATCTGGCCATATTAGCCAGGCTTTGCTTGTTGGGTTTCCTAAATTTGAATCCGACTTTTTGGGTTTTATGAAATTCAGATAGTAAAGTCATTAAAAGGGACTTCACTTTTTAGAATATGTATCTAAATGATTTACTTGATAACCAAGACTTGCTAGTTACTTTAATAATTACGTTTTCCTTTTTTGATTCTTCTTATTGAAGGCCCTGCTGAAGATGGATTGTCAAGCATTGGTAACACATCTCATCCAAGAAGCAGCTATTCTAACTTCTGCTGTCAAACTTGGGAAAGGCTGGAGAGAATTAGCTGAAAAATTAGTAAGACTCACAAAGCAGCAAATAGAGGCATATGAAATTCCTCATCGAGGTAAATCTGGAGATCTTGCTGTTGAGGTAAGATTTTTTTTTCCCTTGTCTAGTTTGGTAGTGGAAAAGCACGTAGCAAATGAAGGAAATGTAACGTGTACAGCATACTTGTAATTCTTGGAGAAGGATCCAATCAGTAAAGTCATTATTCCGATTAAGCAATCAATGTTAACTGAGATAAACATATACCACTCTTCAAAGATCCTAACATCTATCAAGATAGATTTATGTTTATAGTGTGTTATGCAGATGACACAACCTTGTTAGCTGACACTGAGGTGGACCTCAAGTGTCTGATGTGAAAGGTCAGGGATTGTAGTCTTCAATATGGATTGAAGCTTAAAATCAAGAAAAAAAAGATTCTCACCAATGAGCCAATTGGCAATATCGTGATAGATAGAGAAAAGATTGAAGTTGTTAACAATTTCCGTTTGCTTGATTCAACAATTAATGCTCTTGAGACTAGCAGTCAGCATTTCAAAAGATAAATTGCACTGGGAAAATCTGCTGTCAGGGGCCTCTCCAGAGTGCTAAAGAGCACCAATGTCAGTCTAGAGACTAAGGTGTGCCTGATTCAGGCCATAGTCTTCACAATTGCTTGCTATGCATCAGAGAATTGGACAGTGACCAAGGATAACAGAAGAATTGATGCCTTTGAGTTGTGCTGGAGAAGAGTATTGAACGTGCCACAGACTGTCAAGAGAACTAAAAGTTCTATTCTGGATAGGATGAAACCAAACTTCTCCTTAGAGACAAGTGTTTTGAAGCCCTGTCACACATACTTTGGGCACATGACAAGGAGGGAACAGTCCTTGAAAAAGGATCTCATGCCCAGAAGGGTGGAGGGACAGCTCAGGAGAGAAAGATCCTTAATGAGATAGATGACACAGAAACTGGGGTCAGGGGGACAGTTGTGTTGGAGACAGTAAGACTGGCTCAGATAGGGAGGGTTTCAGAGCTATTGTACATAGGATGGCACATAATAAGTATTAGGTTGCATACTAATACCACCTTAGATCAAATAAATTGACAAAATTGTCATTTTAGCTAGCTAAAGTCTAGGCTATAAGATGACATAAAAAAGGTAAATTGTCAAAGGAGGAGATGAAGTGAAGACAAAGTAAGGAGTAGAGTATAATTAAGCTACTTGGTGACAGGAAGGATGAAAAATATGAAAGTTATAAGGACATGAAAATGGGTAATAGAATTATTGTCACTTTTTTAAACAATTTGCCTATAATAAGAAGTATAGATATCAGATAAAGACTGACAGGACTTAATGCAAAGTAAATATTTATCTAGCAAATGTTTTATTGTTATTAGAATAAATGCTTACTTTTAAGCATGAGCTAAATACTTTTTTTAGATTGTCATATAGAAAGAAATGTGAGTCATTTGTTGACTTTAAATATATTCCAGTGTTGACCATATATAAAATGTTCTTTGCTTATCTCTCAAGTGGAAGTAGACCTTTTTTTTTAAAAAAAGTATTTCCATTAGGAAAAGCTGCTCTCTGAATAGATGAATAGTTGGTCAAAGGAAGCAAATCCTAATTCATTTTTGGCCATAAAGGATAATGCTATTTTTTCCAATTTCTTTTTTCTTACTTGAAAGAACCACATCAGTTAGAATAGGATAAAGCAATCTTCCATGAAGAGTTTTTAGTAAGGTTAAGTCAGGTAGAATCTCAGCAGACAGCTTCTTTAACCTGGAAGAGTGGCTCTCCAGTCAAGGGTTCTCTTACAGATGTTTTGTCCAGAAACATAGACTTAGACATAGACAGAGGAAATATTTCTCCCTTATTGATTATATTTAATGCCATAAACAGAAAACAAACTTCAAATGTTTTGCTGTCGAGTTTGGGTCAACTCCTATCTGCTCTTCCAGTGGGTTTTCTAAGTCTATAAATCACATGGGAGGAGATCAACTATCTCTCTCCTGTAGAGACACTAGTAGATATGAACCAGCTGCCTTCAGGTTCACAGTAAAACTCACCATGTACTATGCCACCAGAGCCAGGGGTCGCACCTCTTTGTCTGTTTGAGTCCACTAGCAACTCCATGGTCGAGGAGGTAGGCAGTTTTCTCCCATGTGTTTCACAGCTTCTGAAAACCTATTGGAAAGTAAGTTAAGAGCTGGTTTGACTTGATGAAAATGAGAGTTCCTGGTAACCTTAAGAGAAGTCTACAGAAAAGAAACCAGCGTAAAAAAATAGGTGATACTCAGAACAAACATAAATGTATGTTAAATGAGCTTAAGAAGGAAAAATGAACCATGTTCTTAGGGCTCTGTTGTTCTGATTCACATAGATTAAAAAGTTGACTCATTAAAATCAGGACTTTAATTTTTTTTCAATAAGGCTTTGTTTTTGTTTTTAAAGGGTTTATTAAAAGGGTGATCAAAGCATGATTTATTTTGTCAATTTCTTTAAGCATCTGGTTTCTCTCTAATTGTGGTTGTTTATCGTTTGTCTTTTCCCAAATCTCAATGGAGGCCAACAGCCTACTTTTCCATTATTTACTTTTACATAATCCAAATTACAACTTATTAAAATCTATGTCTTAAGGCTCATAAATAGAAGCAGAAATTAAGGTCCTCGGGTGTCTTTCAAGGAGCTATGTTCAAATTTCTTGTGATTAACACTGTCACTGTCTTTATTTATGCTATTGCATATTTAAGAAAGATCCATGGCATATTGGGTCTAAAGCCGTTCCAAACAATCTACTGGAACCTTCCCCCTACCCTCCTAAAACTAATGAAACCCAGAAGGTTAGTCTGCATCCTTATACTGAAGTAATTGTACAGTTATGCACCTTTGGAAGCAGATGATTATGAAATAAGATTAATTTACAAGTCAAATAGTTCACTTCAAAATATACTGGCATTAATTCTGGGTTGGTAGCAGAGAAGGAGTAAACCGAAATTTAGACAAGCAGATAAGACGTCCTGCTGGTTTCCGTGCTGCTTTTGATTCTGTTAGCTCACTTTCCTCAGAGAGCTCACACTCCAGAAATTTCCCTATGTGTATTCCAAGCTCACTTTATTTCATTTTCATCTTTTTCTCCTACGCCTGTCTTCTATTTTTTTCTCTTGTCTAAGAAAATTATCTGCCACTTACTCAAGACCAGGCATTATTCTAGGATTGAAAAAAAAAAATCTTGAGACATGGAGATGCTAAGCAATTTGTTTGGATATGCATAACTAAAAAGTCATGGGAGGAGATTGCTACATTTTTAATTTTTTTTCCTTTCAAGTGCTTGCAGGACTCAAACCTCTAAGTTTTCCATGAGCAACCCATCATGTTATTTCCTATGCCACTAGGGCTCCTTTACTTTGATGAGGAAGAGATAAACTTGACCATTGGCCAACATTGTTTGGAAAATGGAATCAAATACACCTGCCTACACTTCACTTACTGATAGGACAAGGTTCCAAAAATCAAGTCATTATTTGAAAATAGGCACAATGAAAATATTTAGCATGATTTAAATCACAAAATGAAAGATGTCAGCATCATAACACAACTGTTGTTATTGTTATGTGCATCGAGTCACCTGCAACCCATAGTGACCCTGTGCCCTCACTCGAGCCAATTTTACTGATTCTGACACACCAATCCCCATTGCCCCAGTTACTGTATCAATCTGTCTCATATGGGATTTTCCTCTCCCGCACTGTTCCTCCACCCTTTTGAGAATGATGTCCTTCTCCAAGGACCGATCTCTCCTGGCCACGTGCTCAAAGTATGTGAGACAGAGCTTCAAAATCCTAGCCTCCAAGGAGAAACTTGATTTCACCCTCTCCAAGACAGACCTATTTGTTTTCTTGGTGGTCCATGGTATGTTCAAGACTTTTCTCCAGTACCACAATTCAAAGACATTGATTTTCTTCTGTCATCCTTAGCTACTGTTCAGCTCTTTGGTGCACAGCAAATAATTTAAAAAACCATGGCCTGGATTAGGCACACTTTAGTTTCTAGACTGACATCGTTGTTTTTCAGTACTCTGGAGAGGTCCCTGATAGCAGATTTTCCCAGTGCAATTCATCTAACACAACTGCCAAATTACATATAGTAATTGTCAAAGTTCTTCATGACATAACTCCCAAATTATATCACTGAGTAATTGCCAAATCACTGAGAGTCATGGCCCATTCAAGTAGAAAAACAACCTTAACTAACAGCCAGCACTATTTTTGCCTTTCGCCTTAGTATTCATTACACCCAGATGTATACCATTAATGTACCAAGTAGTTGAATCGTCATTTTTTTTACTAGTTTTATGAATTATGTGAGATGATATAAGTGAGGTATAGAGTAATATGATCGAGGGAAACTAAAGAGTGTAAGGTAGGGAGCAATCAGATGATGTCAAGGCCAAACTTATTAGAAATTGATCATACTTAGAAAAAAATTGATAGAAAATCTTATGTGATCACATTTTTCTTACCAGCATCTAATTTTATGAGGAAGGATTTCTTGTGGAAAGGCAAAGGAAAGGTCCTTGGATTGTTTGGTTTTTCAGGCTCATATGACAAATCCTCAGTTACGCTCAATGGCTATCTTCTTGCCCATTTAGATATCTGGTTCTGATTCAGTTCTAGTCTTAATCCTTGAAGTTACAGTTTCCTGTTCTTTTGCAATAAGACATATATTTATTGTTTCAGAAAAAAGGAAAAATACATGAAAATTCACCTACTAATAGTAAAGTACACACAATAAATTCTCAAATTCTCATTGATTTTATTAAAGATGTGGTATGGTGATATAGTATTTGGATTATAGTCCATTTGGTACTAAACTGTAGTCTCATTTCCAAAGCACTCATTTCTAAAATATTTAGATCCAAAAAGTTATTTAATTTTTGACATGATGGAACAAAATGATGACATCACATTTCCATTTCTGAGGTAATATATATGTTTATACAATCTTTGCTTTAATTCCAAGGTATATACCTCAAAATCACACTGAAAATCTCATAGAAATAGTAATCATGTTATGACAAATATTTACATTTTTTGTTAGA